AGAAGAAGAAGAAGAAGAAGAAGAAGAAGAGGAAGAAGAAAAAGTAGAAGAAGAAAAAGAAGAAGAAGAAGAAAGGAAAAACTGGCGTCATTAGATATCAACATGATTGCACACAACAAATACGCACTGCACTTTGTCCTAATGCACTCTGCCTCTACAGAATATTATCATGCAGGTCTCGTAACCTTTGCGCCCTCCAACAGTTTTGTGTCACGATAATCCTAGTATATCTCCTAGATCCTGCATAATGTTCAGGCCAGAGGCCCCGAAAAATATGGCATTATGTTTTGTCAGAGCAGACGATGCCTCAGACCTTTTGTCCCAGTTCTTCACCGCCCGGCCTGCCTTCCAGGTCACGATACGCCTGGGTCTACCTCCGGGTCAGAGTCCAGCAGCTCCTGCAGAGCCTGGATGTAGCTTTGCGCCAGCTGCAGTGTGTCGTACTTGGACAAAATCTGGTCCTCGCCCGTAGATGGGATCACTTCCCTCAGTTGGTCGAAGGCCGTGTTTAGGCTTTGCATTCGTTTCCGCTCTCTGGCATTGGCTGCCAGTCGGCGCTTCTTCTGAAGTTCGCCTGGAGACGAACCAATGATTTTTTTTCTTCCCGGAGTTTTCTTAACGTCCGCATCTTTAGCCAGACTTTTCTTTTTCTTCTCTTTGCAAATGTGTATTTCAGCGTTTGATTGGTTCGTGGTTTTACGTTTGTCTCCGACTTCATTACGAAATTCCTCCACTGTCGATCCGAGAATGTTTGTTGGGGTGTGACCTATTGTTTGCAAAACAGCGCACTGCGATTGCTGTGTTGATAGAGGAAGAGGAGGGGGTAACGTAAATGTGCCTCTGACTGTCGATGGGGGAGGTTTATGTGGGAGGAATGTAGACGGGGAAAGAGTTTTACTGCTCGTAACGGAGAACTCAGAAGAAGTCTGGGTCACGTTTGAATCTGCCTCATCAGGCTCTGGTTCGTCCATGCCGGGAAACATGAAATGAACGTGGTTGCGAGAGTAAGGTGTGAGTGGGGTGTTGGGGGTTGCGTCACTGTCCGATTGAGGCATGTCTACAGAAGACCTGTGGTTTGTGTCCATGTCGCAGAAGGACATAAGTGACGAAGATAGGAGTGAGGGGGCTCCGTGTTGGGAGAGATAGTGAGCCAGCTCTTCCTCCAGTTTGTCCAGAGGTCCAGATAAAGGCCCAGGCTGGAGCCTGGGTTCGCTGGACAACGCATCGAGGTCCAAGAACTCCTCCCAAATACCGGAGGATGATTTCACACCGTCCATCATGACACGTGTTGATGTTGTTGTAGTTGTTGTTGTTGCTGCTGCTGCTGCTGTTCCTAATGCTTTTTATGTTGTATTACAATCTCTTCGATCTTATTGTTACAAAGTAGAAGACACATAAGAAACCCTTTTCCGAAATTAAGATGAAAAGCAGAACTACAGATTTCTAGAGTCATTCCTCAATGTTTTCACAGCAAACTGCCAGTGAGAGTCTCCAACTGTAATGAAAAGTCCATTATTTCCATGGAGTCAATGCACAGCACAAAATTCTATTTAAGTTATTGTAAGTAGAAAACTTTCTAAAATCCTGAACAAAAACTCCTTTAAAAACCTAGCGCGCGTGAAACGGGGCACCACTTGAACACATAATTAGTCTCAAATATTTTCATTTCTTGAATCCACAGAAAAAAAATGTGCACACGTCCATTCCAGTCTGATAATGAATATTAAACAATGTGGGTCAAACCAATAACATGTGACTCTATTCATTCAGTTCAAATACGTGTAAGGTGGATAAGGATTGTATGATGTCCGCACACGTCCGCTCAGGACTCTTCTCTACCGACACGGACTGCTCTATAGACGTAGAACAATTTGCACGTGTCGTTCCTCGAAAACCTGCACAAAACTGCTTTCATCAGCGTGCCGCGCGTGAGTGTGTGCGCGTGTACATGTCTTGTGCGTGTAAAGCAGCAGCTCACCACAATAAATGGACGCTGGCGAAACGAAGAGGAATCTAACAAGAAGAAAAGTAGGCCCTATTTAACATCTTTTTTTTTACCAGACAAATATCAGTGAAGGGTGTCGGTTGAAGGAGGGGGTGATGTCGAAGAAGGAGGAAGCCCCGCCTTGAGCAAGCGGGTGGCGCGTAGATAAAAGAGCGTTGCTGGGAGGGGGGAGGGAGAGTGCCGGGTAGCTAATAGAGGATTGGCGGAAAAGGGGGGTGGGGTATGGCAAGTAGATAAAGTGTGGTTTTGGAGTGGGTGGTTCACGGGTGAATTGGGGGATGGTTGAGTGGACGG